GTGGTCTGCTCAAGATACCACTGGCATGGATCTTAACCCGAGTCCAAGTAACAGTAGTGCCAGTAGTCGTTCCAGGCCACCCCTCGGTCACCCGGGCTAACACCTCACCATCCAAACGGGTAAGTATGGTGAACGAAGGTGTTAATCGTCTGTATTTTGTCACTAATTCTAACTAAAGGGCCTAATTGGTGTAAACTGTTGTGGTGTCCCCGCCTCTTTTCATGTCTCGTGTATATGAATTGTTGTGCTTGTATTGTGTACGTTTTTTGTCAAGGCGAAGCTAAATAAATAAATAAATAAATAAATGCGCAGCCGCGCTCGTTTCAGATCCCTAAACAAGTGTAGAAAGCGTGAAAAAGCGTGAAAAAGCGTGACTAGTCTTTAGTATTAGAATGAACCTTCTGGTTTATTCTGTGCCCAGGCGCTATAAAACGATTTCACATACGAGTCATTAAATAAAACGTAAACATGATCATGAAGTAGTGCGTCACATTATAGGCGTGCAAAGGGGAATGGGATATGACTCATATGAGCGTTCTGGTTAGCGCGTGGCCGATCTTGTATAATAGCTGTCGAACATAATTAGTCATAAAAACCTTGTAAATTGATTATATATTATAAACCGGTGTGACAGGAAATTCCCCCTCCCCGAAAATTTGGCTCCCTCTTCGGAAATTTGCCCCCCCCCCCTCTTTAAAAAATTATATTTTACTTTATCTTTAGGCTCGGAAATTGTGAAGCTTCTACTAAAACCAAATCTCTAGAAATTTTTCTCAACAATTATAGTTAGCTTGCGTGATTTTGTTGTGTCAAAATTCTCCGTTGAATTGCAAAACAAACAAGAATTAGGCCAAGAGCTAAAGTTTAGCGTACTTTTCGCATTTGGTTTTGACCAGCTTTTTAGAAGATAACGTTAATAAATAATGACTGTATCAATGGTATCATTAAGCTATGGAAACGAAACGAGTCATCCAAACCTTTGTGCTTTTGTGTTTTCAGAATGTTTTCTTAGTCATTCAGACCTTTGTGCTTTTGTGTGTGCGGAATTTTTTGTGAGCCATGAAGCATGCAGTCTACTTTCGTTTTTACGGAATACTTCTGTAATGCATCCCAAGGCAACCATATGAGCGATTATATATCTGTGTATATGTAAGTAAAATGCATAGGAAAAGGTTTTTTTTACGAAATAACCACTCATTTGATTTTATTTTTCGAACAAACGTTTCCACTTAAAAGTCTACTTTTACCCTAATTCTAATTACTCCCTGTTATTTATTAGACGCGTGCATATATTAACATATTCGTCAACGCATGATGTCGTCGTTTGCTAAAGTGCAGTTGTTATTCTGACTAATTTTATACTATGTGACTCAATTTATAGATCTAAGTAACTTGTAATATATTAAAAATTCCTATCTATAAAAATCGTTTCGTGTCTTCAGCTTAAAGCTAAGCCATTATGCATTAACGTTGTCCTCTACAGATTAGCACATTATTATTATTATTATTATTATTATTATTATTATTATTACGCTTTCCTTAGTTCCTTCGAACTTTTAGCTCTTAGCTTGGCCGCAATGAAAAATTTCGACACAAATAGATTATGCAAAATAACTATAAATACTGACAAACACTCATCATTAGCACGTGAAGATCAGACGTGTGTTGTTGAGCTCCTGTTCAAAATGAATTCATCAACAGTTATTAATGCTCTATATAGTTTCTTTGGCAAGAAGAAAAATAAATTAACATGGTCAGGATCTCTAGAAGATCTCAAGGCATTTGTTCTTACAATAGTCGACGAAGAAACTGCTGAAAGTTCGACATGGCGTTCACCCAGTGGCGGAAAATGGTGCTTCGACAGCGATCAACTTAAAGTTACGTGGTATACGAAGAGCGAAGCAATACTCTTTGAAGGGACCAAAGCTAAAGATTTGTCTATACGAATACATGGTATTCTTGTAGAATCGGTCGACCGGAAGAAAGCCAAAAATAGCGATCTTAACAAGTCCTTAGAATGTTTTATGGCCGAAGCGAGCACTGAAGTGGATAATAATAGTCCTGATGAAACGCCAGGACCATGCACCTCATTGTTGCAAGTAAGTAATATCTCTTGCTGCAATATTAGTAACAATAATCATGTCGAAAATGTGCTCGGGCTAGGCGAGTCTTGTAAC